GTATTTATTTTCACATTCACTAATAAACTTATTTTCAATGAAAATACAAATTAGACACAATTATTAGAGATAATTTTAGAATATTTACGCAAATTTATCAGTGACTTATGAGAATATATTGATATACAATAAGTTCGGATGGGGCTGCAGAGACAGCAGCCATCTCTGCCCCGCCGAGAGTCATTCCAAAGCACTAGTGCTTTGTATTATTTGAAACCTGATGAATAAATGGTCCTAAATTTGCCCCAGAACAAGGGCATATATTAGGAAACAATCTACATTGTTTGTATGAACACTAAAGACTTTCTTTCCAGCTTGTAGTATGTATTGATACTATTTTAACAGTCTGTAATATACACAGCAGTTGGCAAAGGCTTTTTTTCTCTTCACAGTAGAGAATATCAAATAAAGTGGAGATAAAAATAGATCCATACTTTTATTTCAAAATGTTACTTTGACACATCCACTAATTCTAAAACCTTTTCTTTCTCAAAAAAAAAAAAAAGCATAGCCTTTGATATTAATAACGGAAGTGAAGCTCCAGCATAGATATTTCAGATTACGGCAGAGTTTTCACCTTAAAGCTTCTCTGATTACATTTGCGAACTCCATAGCACTATCTGAAACAAAAACAAGCTATCTAAAATGAAATCTCACCCCCTAAATCATTATGATTGCAGTTTGAGAGGAAAAGGTAGACAAAAGAAAAAAGATTCTGATAACTACATGATGATTTGATGATTTAATCCAAGATATATCTTTAAAGTGCATACATTTGTCTACCACTGTATAAACTGTATGTGGGATAGCTCGAATTTGTATCATCACACAGGCTCAGGGCATCCTTCATTTAAATAAAAACATGCTAATCAGGATGTCACCTTGTAGAAGTTCTAAGCCTTGAAACACAGCACAAGTCTAGCTTCCAAATGCCAAAAATACATTTCTCATCTACATCAAGACTGTCATATCAGCACTCTATCAGAAACTATTAATGCTGGGCTTCCTATGAAATATTTTAAACGAGAGTCGGGAGGAAAAAATAAGTAAATAAAGCAAACAGACTGTAATCTCGATAACTGGTTTGCCTTTAATGGTTTCTTACTCCATTAAGACATGGTGCCTGTGTGGACGCTGCAGGGTTAGATCCCTTTGGAACAGGCCTCTCTTCCCGGGACTCGTGTTTGTGATGTGGGTAGGGTTTCCAGCAACCTACATGCCTCAGCATTGGGCGAGAGGTGCAGGCAAGCTCTCACCACTTAACTGCTAAAAAAAAGTGAAGCTGATTACCCAAAACCAAATCTCAAGCACATCCCCTCAGCGGAGCATGTTGCAATCATTTAATTCCAAGGTGGCTGAGACCCAGACAGGGATGACACAGAAAATGAGACTTAAGAGGTACAGAGAGAAATTCTGTCTCATATTGATTTAAGTATTCTATAGCAGAAATGAGGGGTGGAGGGAGAACCCTAAGATCCACAACTAATTTCTACAAAAGGGACAGAAACAGGAGCTGACATAATTCAAAGCAAGTTATTTTGTGTGCATCCTCCATCTGACTGAAAGTAGATTTTTTTAATCTATGGCTTCCATCTAACAGATATCCATTCATAGGAGAAATGACCTGTGTTTATTTTATACATACACACACACAAATATATATGCATACACTCATATATATGTGTGAGCTTAACCACAAACAACATTGAATAAATAGAAAAGTCTGTAGTAGAAATTAAAGAAATTCGAATGGGAAAACTGCCGGCGCTCCAACAGACTTTAAGATTCCTCAGACCAGTTCCTAAGCTCTTAAGATCCACTCCTACCTGCTCACGAGACACTGCAGCCACAGGCCACATCCCGTTGGTGTCGATGACACCAAAGGCAGCAGACAGGCCTCACAACTGCAGCACGGACACACAGCACTCAGCCAGGAGCTGCCACTACTACTGCAGCTGTTTTGCCAGCTTTACGATTGGGAGAGATTTTCTTTAACATCCTGGACAAAACTTTATAGTACCTGTAATATTTTTAATAATTTGCCCCATATGCAGTCGTGAGGAGCATCTATTCCACTAGTGATATAAAAACACTGCTCACTTCTGGAGATTCTTGATCTGCTACATTAATGACAACCGTCTTCACGTCTTTGCAGGCAGGCGAGTTTATCCCATTTAGTCCTCCTTTTCTGTTTTGTTTTGGGTTTTGTTGTTTGTTTGGTTTTTTGGGGGGGGAGGGGGGGAGGCGGCATTTAAACCTACAATTATATCACTAATAGCAAGGTCCACATCTCTCATTTCTAAATAGTATCAAAGAGAAAAAAAAAATGTATTTCCATTACATAGTTACAACTCCAACAACATTCCTCCCGAAAACTCAATAGGCTTTTTTTTTTTTTTTTTTTTTTTACTACTACATCTGTAGCATGAGCACAGGCAGTTCCAATTTAAAATGAACAATATAAAACAGATTAGATCATATCATGTAAGTACTCTATTTTCTGCAGATTTGATGGGTTCAGCACCCAAAAACAATCCTTTGAGCAGTTTAACATTCACTGATGTGGAAAGCAAGGAAATCGTTCTCTGTTACAGTGAAAATAATTTTATTTTGTTTTCATCTCTGCTACAACAGTATGTTGGAAAAGCACTGGCATTTCCAAAAATCTGTGTTCAGACATCCTTTTATTTCTTTAAAATAAAATGTAAACAGTAACGTGTAACAGTTAAATCAGTAGGAAGAAACATTTGAGAAATACTGTTTTATTAGGCTTCTATAGGAGGTTTCTGCTATAGCCTACACAGCACCAATACCACAGACATTTGGCAGAACACTATTTATTTTAAAGTCTTCATGATTGTATTAATTTTCCTTTTTCTCTTCGGACAAAACCCTAAAACACTGCTCATAGCAAGTTTAATTCACACGAGCATGAACTGCAGTTGTTAAAGTTACCTGAAGGGTATACTTCTGTATTTCATCCAGAACAAATTCCACTTCTTTTGAGGTTGTTAATGAGGCAAGATTCCCACTTAAATTGTAGCAATAGAGTTTGGCATTGTCATAGCTTTCACGACTAGAATTTATACGGAGGCAGGCATCTCCAATATGACTCCATCCTTCCCCACATAGATGAGCTAGTATTAAAAAAGTGTATGATTAAAATTGATTTGAGAAATTTAAAAACTTAAAAGATAGTTTGAATTTCACTTTTATCAGGTAATAATTCAAAATATATCCTAATATTCAATTTCCCCTTTCATATCCCCTAAATATTTGAAAACACCATGTAACTACAGCAAATGTTTTATGAAAAGAAATAAATTAATCTAAACATTATCTAAATTTCAAAAATTGAAACCAAATTTCCTAGAATTAAAAGATGACAAATATATCCCATCGTTGCTTTTTCATATGTTAGTCTATCTTAAATAAATATTATTAACATGATGGGAAATTCTGATAATTCAGCATTTTAGGAAACTTTTGCTCTTCAAAATATTTCAGAATCCATCATATGCAGATAACTTAACAAGAGACTAAATTTATAGGCATTATTAATCTCTACATAGATTGCACAAGTGTTATTTAAAATTATATAAAACAAATTTATTAAAGCTATTTAAGGAATAATTTCTACAAAAAAATCACAGAAACTATTTGTAGACTTCTTGTTACAGGTAGCTGCTGACATAAAACCAATTACTGTTCAATAACTTCAGCTGAACAAGAAGATCAGAGAAGGGCACTTCAGATATCTAACTGCATATATGGAGTTAGACATATGAATTACAGAAATATATTGTTGCAAAATATTAACATGCCGCTTCTGAAAATACTTTTATCAGTATTTTAATATTCACTGCTTTCGTAGTGTTAATAACATTAGGCAGTCCAGAAATCAGGCCTTGGGTCCTATCTGCACAGCAAAGCCCAAGCGCAGCTACTTCAACGGAGGACAGAAGCCCAGCTAGCAAACGTGACCCAACGAGCGGATACGGAGCAGCAAAGGAGCCGGAATGGCTCTGACGGCTGCGGAAAGGCGGGAAGCGGAGCCCCCATCCCGCAGCCCTTACCGGGGAGCGCCTGGCACTCCTGCTGCCGCTGGTCCCACTGGCAGTTCAGGTGCAGCGAGCAGCTCTTACAGCTCGTCAGTTTATTGCAGATCTGTTCATTTCTCACGTGACATTTGGTGTAGTTTTTAACCGACTATGGAAAGAAAACAGACAGAAGGGCATATTGAATGTCACATTGCCAACAAATCAGAAGTCAGAACTGAAATACACATTTTCCCCAGAAAATCACAGCCATCTAGAAGTTGGGTCTAATTTAAGGTCCTTGTCTAGGTCAACCTTTTAGTTGGTGGAGACCACAAAGGGCATCTCTAGAGGACTGCTCATCCCACTTGTCTCACACTTTGAATAACTTTGTTGGCACAAACAACACTTTGAAGACATCACTTCTTGCTATTGAGCATAGGAAGGTCTTAAAAACTCAAGTAAATCTCTTTCTTATATGGTTCCAATATAGGCTCTCATCAAATTATTTCATTCTCCAGTTGTCTGTAGGCTGATCAAGCAAAACAATCAAAAAGATTACAATAAGCAGAGCAAGAGGCAGGCGTAAAATAACTACATTTCATCGACAGAAGGTGCAAGATAATGCACTCTATAGTCTGACCGGAGTTAAACCAGCAAAAATTGAAATTATAGACAAGCGATTATAAAACACAAGAAATGCTATTTCAAAAATCCCAGTTACTTTATCTTAAAGTTTCATCTACAAACTTGTATTTAAGGTACTTGGTGAAAAGGCAGAGGATCTGGCGGTACCATTTTGGCAAGCTGTAATATAAAACCAAAAATTACAGCATTCCCCTCATACATTAGCGTATAAGAAAAGTAGTAAACACTGAAGGACTTTATCTGGTTCTTTTCTGAAAAAGGAAATATTGCTTTTTAAGTTAGGCATTTGAAAACACTTTTTTTCCCCCCCTTTTAAGGGGGGAAAGTCCTTTTAAGATGAGACATAGTTACTGACATCTTATTTAATAAACTGCCCAAAACATGAATCAGTTAATCTATTTATCCATTGGACTATCTCTGCTAATTTCATTTGCAGGCAATAACTAAAAGCAAATCCTAACTCAAAGCATCATTAATCCCACCACAAGACACAAACTCAGGTGAAAACACAAATCCCACAGCAGACTCCCCAACTGCACCCACATAAGACCACCTGCAATGGGGACACATTTCTCCTGGTCAGACTCACAGCACACAGGCTAGGCAAGGGAAAATAGTTTGCTCCTCTTCCTTACAAGATATATAAACTCACATAATAAAAGGATATATGAGAATGCACAATAATATTTAATTTACAGGGTTTACATGTACGGCTGCTTACCGAAGGATTTTGCTGGAAGTCCCTGTTTTACTCAAATGTGAAGGCCAGTCCAGCTAGGCCAGGTTAACTAAGCACAGATTACATTTCATGGAGGGCACATAAACACGACACCAGAGCAGAAATACGTCTGCCTCAGGCTTGGGTTACTTCCAACTCTTTTATTAGTTCACTCCATACATCTTGGCTGGTGAGTGATTACAGGCATGTCAAACAACATAAAAATATATTCAATTTATGTATTGGGATGGCTTGTTTTGATAAAATTCTGAGCTATTCAACCCCTCAGCAGCAGTGGCATCAAGATATATCCCAAATCTTAGAGTATGCCTAAATTTGCAGGTACGTATATGTTTTGCATTATTGTATGAATTTGTCAAATGCCAATTTCTGATTATAAGCAGTTTCAATTTCACATATATATATATAATGCCAGAAAATACATTTTGTCAATTTATTTTAATAACTAATATTTCTTCAGATTTCAGTTATGTAACTAGATGTATCTGTCCCATAAGTTAAAATCACATACCTGCCAAAGAATACTACACAAATATTTTCTCTCCCTAGTAACAGAAGATATTCATACTAAGTAGCAAAAAAAGATAGCACTTTGGTAGCATATGTACGATTTACTTGACAATTTTAGCTCCTTTCCTCCTGGTATACATCGTCTTCTGGAACACTATAAAGCACACTTAAAGGGCTAATACGATAATAAGTAGACGCAGTTGCTGGTACTAGAATTAGGATGATAGTGCCTCAACCTACCACAAACAATAATGAAAAAGAGGCAAGCTCTTTTAATGTAGGTGTTTTTTTTCTTTTTTTTTGGAAAGTCCTGAAATGCAATTGTTAAAATGAATTTTCAATCTCACACAGGACCAGCTTCATTACTGCTAGAGAACACTGCTGTTCAGGGGCCTGTTTGGTGCCTTTATTCGACCAGATGCTCATCAGTGAGCACATTATGAAAGGGATCCACTGCTTTCCTGGTCTATAAGAGAGGCTACTGCGAAGCAAAGAGAAACAGAGAAGCTGTCCTAGGAGAAAGCATCTGCACAACTGTATGAAACAGAGCCAAGGGAAACATGGTAAAGTAACAGGATGTCTATCTGGACAATAAATATATGCAAACCGTAATGCATAAAAAACCTCTGGCACAAACCCACATTTACTTTCACTCAATCATAATGGTTATTCACAAAACTGCTTGAGAGATGCTATACAATGAATTTTATATTACAAGTAAGCACCATCTGCTCATTTTCAATACCTCAAATAACATACCCTGTTAACACATCATTATCACAATGTCAGAATCCTTAAGCATTCAGATTGTTTTGAAAGTGATTTATTCCACAGTAACACTACATACAGATTGCAATTTTCTAACTAAATCAAAATATTTGTTCTATTACCTACTAATCATGAAGCTTGTTGTGCATGTGCTATTTAACATTTAAAATAAAATTCAAAGTACCAGTGACTATTCTGTAATAGTTTTCTGTTGTATTCCCTTATTCCCTGCACTTATTTCCCTTAAATACAATGTTCATACATTGCTTCCCTGAAAATCTCATTAGTTCAATATAAATGGGAATCCAATAGGTAACTCATATTAACACAACATTAAGGTTATAACTACCAAAGCTGAAATATGACAGACCATCTGTTACTGAAGTCTTCTATTGCTGTAGGATAGTTAACATGCTTATGCACAAAAATGTGAGTAGATCATATTACATATGAGGTTTCCTGCTTATATCTGATTACTTCAGTTTTCCAGTTCTGATCCTGATATGGTGATCCCAATATGGGATATGGACTTAAAAAAAAAAAAAAAATCCCTGCAGTTTTTTTTTTTTTTTTTAATAAATCCCTTGTAGGATGAAAGCACTGGTCTATCTTACCATTTCAGGAATGAGTATTAAATGAGTAGATTTTTCTGGTCAACACTAAAATATTATGATGTGCTTTGTCTTATTTATCTAATAGCTTTTCCTCCATTTCTCTGAAGCTAGTGCCCAGTCTTACTACTGCGCATTTCTTAGACATAAGTTTCCCTTTTTCATCATGTTTTTAACCCTACTTATAATTCCTTCTGCTATTTTAAAGAGTATTTCCCCTTACTTGTTCTTTGAATTCCTCGACTGTAGGTGAATCACTATTATTACCATTGCATGAGTGCAGCATTTAAGGACTTGTCTAAAGACAAGGATTCTTTTCTTTCAAGTCAATGTTTAAGTATATGCAATGTTCAAGTATAATTTAAAGGTAGAATTATACTTACCCTTGGAGCATCCTCTGGTACCCTTCTATTTTTTAAAAGATGCTCTTTCTCAAACCATTCCTGAGTTTTATGAGGTTGGTTTATGTTGCCATGCTTCAATATAAAATATTTTTAAATCAATTTGTGCTTTACTTAAGCAAATTTCATCAAACAGAGACTTTATAAGACTGTATGTGCAGGGACTGACACATGAGAAATTCAGGGAATTCCACTGTGTTCTATTGGAAAAAAAACGTCATATAGTCTGTAGACTCTGTGCTACTGCCTCATGTTCTTCACCCAGATCAGTTAGGTGCTTTCAATTATTCAGACTATCTATTCCTGCAGTAAAGGAACAGTGCTCCAACAAACTTAACTGTAAGAATTCCAGAGGCTTTTCCTGCATTTTCTAAAGACTGTTATGGTTTTGAAAAGAAAAATTCTTCTCTCAATAGTGAAAATATCTATAGAGTGAAGTTTAATATTATATTATTGCCGTATGTCAATACTACAAAAACTTTCCTGTAAGTTATATGAAAATATGTAGCATTTCAAATGAAATTACTTTATTTGAAAACTTCTAGTATGGGCAGTTAAAATTCATAGAAAATGAAGGATTAGAGACCAAAATACCTAGAGAGCCAATGGAGCATATCATTACAGCTACCCTGTCTGCAGTTCACTTATGCTAGAAAGCATTAAGACAAGAAAGCAGAGAAGGAAGCTATTTCTTGCTTATCGCTTAAGCACTTGCACTTCAGCAATGCTGTTTTGACCTGAAGTAGAGGCCTCATCGTCTCCCACATCATCCTCATAGGCAGGGTGATGAAGTACAGGCTAGAGAAGCAGACAGTGACATAGACTAAATACGGCAGAGCTCAGAGGGCTGTCATCAGTCACACAAAGTCTAGTTGTAGGTCTGCAGCCAGCAGTATCTCCCAGGAGTCAGTAACAGGTACCACCTTGTTCAACTTGTCCATCAGTGACGTGGATGAAGGGACAGAGCAAGGAGTGGCTCATCACCAGAGGACTGTGCTGCCATTCAGAGGGACCTGGACAGGCTGGAGGAACCTTGCAAAGGCAAGGCAGGGTCATGCACTGAGGAATGGAGGATGACCTGCTGGAGAGCAGCCCAGTGTTTACCTGGGAGTCCTAGTGGGCTACAGACTGACCATGAGCCAGCCATGTACCCTGGGATGCACATGACAAGCCAACAGTGACCTGGGATGGATTGGGAAGAACGCAACACCAGGTTGAGGGAGGTGATCTTCCCCCTTTATTCAGCCCTGGTGAGGCCACATCTCAAATTCAGTGTCCAGACCTGGGTACCTCAACACAAGACAGACACAGAACTAGTGGAGCATGTCCAGCCTAGGGCTACTGAGATGAT